AATTATAACTTTAGAGATGCCCCGAAAAATACAATTTTGGCAACCGTTTTACATAAAATCCGATACCGTAATAGTTATTAACTAAATTTGTACTGGCAGTAACTATAAGACTTCAATATTTGTACTTTAGTTCTCGAAAAAGATTGCTCGTTGTATTTCATAAAGATTTTTATTCTTACACCATGAATATTCACACATAGTCACACTGAGATAGTTAAGTGACACCGAGACTAACCAAATTTTAACTTAATTAGATTTTATTAAGTTAACATGTATATTTTTTAAGAAATATAACTATTTAGGTAATATTTACAGCCATAACTATGACCTCCTTAATTCGTTATGAGACGCCCATCCACACTTTCTGTGACATCCGTTTTTCCTTTCCGATATACACAAGCTAGAGAAATGAGTCAAATCTCAAAACACAAATCTTTTACTTATTGTACCGAAAAACTTTCTACAAAAGTTGTTTTCAGTATGGTGCAGTACCAGATTTTGTATCATTCATTAACAGGATTCGAAGCGATAATTATCATTGATAATTATTTTCATAATTATCTCAATTATTATACCTTGATAATTCCCTTGATATTTACAAAATTAACTGGAACAACCAAATGCGCTATCAATATCGTGCTATGTGTTTGTACCCGAGACGTATTCAAACATGTCAGCTGTCAAATTAAAAAGTCACAAACCAAATCGTTTTCCCAAAGATTTTTCTTCGTGTACAATTAGTTTTTTCACTGTTTGTCATTTTAGTAAAAAAAAAATGAATCAACAAAGATAATTGTTAGATAATTATTATAATAATTATCAGCGAAAATAAAGAAATGATAATTTCGAAGCCTGCTTATTAGTAAGGTCTAAAAAAACTTGTTTAAGCAACATATACGACTTCGTTATTTTGCTTCAGATTATTGACAATAGCCAAATTCTATTGGTAGTTCGAAATAAATCTTCTTTCTGCTTCGATTTGTTGAATGAGTTGGCCGTTACATTCCCTAGTTCGCGTTCATGTCAATTCAAGTTTATCAAAAGATGGTACCATTCAAGACCATCTTTAATATCTTTTCAATATTTTTCACAAAGTTGTCATGTGAATTTACTCCCTAGTGATTCATAAAATGAGCATATAACCTTAGGTACCTTTAAACTTACACAACATTAAATGCAAGAGAATATTTTAATTTTTTTTTCATTATCAAATTCGTACAATAATCCCGAGGTACCTCGTGACAACGCTAGTGCACCCTTAAATATATACAATACATCCTGTCCAGTTAAGTGCAAATGCTCTGTTCTTAATCAAAATCACAAAAACCTCTTAGTTACTCTTGGGAGAACAATTTTTCACCGGGTCGCGTCGGATATTGCCTTTCACACTATATTTGTTCATTTTAATGTTCAATGGATGAAGAGACCTCATTTTATTTGCAACCCAGATTAAGAATAGCGCACTTCATATCCTTAAATTGTACTTACAATTACAGTTAACTTTAAATACGATGGACGGGTGTAAACTTGTAAAAATAAAACTAAAAAAAAAAGGAATATAAAAGGAAAAAAAATAAACAAAAAGATAAATTTTCTTACAATTTTTAATTCGCTGAAACCTAACAAACAATAATTTTTCATTTTTCATCATCTCCTTAAAAACATAGTAACATCTATGCAACACAAAAAAGTAACTGGGAAAAAGTAATAATAATAAAATTACGAATAAAAAAATTGTTTTATACTCCGGAGAGTGAAGGGACAATTTAGATTATGTGGCGGCCGGCCGATCTCCCTTACCGATAAGAAATGAGGTAGACATCGATGAGATTTATAACCTAGCCTAATTAACACTTACCAACTAACATTTAAGACTGTCAACTCAGCTCGTACGGAGACAAACGGTAAATACATCGATGGATATAATCATCCCCTTGAGCAACATAGAGTCGATTACTACCTTCCAGAGATTCAAAATGTGCAAACGATATAGAACTGAACGCTCTTTATTTACATCTCCCTCGCCAATTATTTTATTACTTAAAATTGTTCCACAAAACGTTCAGTCCGGCATTAAGTATTTATTCATCTCCCGACGAGTACTAAAATTACCAACGACATTTATATTAAAGGATACATTTCTGTTTAGAGGTGACTTGAGTTGAATCCTGAGGTAGCATATTTGTACTTTAAATTTTTTTTATTTTTCGCATATAGCTTACTTACTAAATTTTATATTTTATCTTCATATAAAAAATCTATTTAGAAGCTTACTTACATCTAAGTTATATTCCTCGAGGTAGATAATCTTATAATCTAATTGGGCTGCACAAATTATACTACGTTCGAGGCCTTGCAGCATCCTTTCGACCTTTTATGTCTGTTCCCTCGCTGGAGGCTGAATGTAGAATATCCGCGCAGCCCTGTGACGGCAGAGGGTCACCATACCCGTAACAATCTTTGGCTTTACCATCACGACATTTCGCGATAAAAGAAAAACTTAAAATTACCTTATTTAAAGACTTACACGAGAATCCAAGATGGAGCTGAACGGTTAAAGAAAGCAATGTTTAAAAAGTTTTGATCCAGCAAAACGTAAAGACTCCATGACAAGGATTAAAACATTGAATATGCAGCAATGATTGGCGTAAGGGGAAGGATCACTCGTTTTTAGCGAATTCAAATTTCCTAGTGAGATTTGTTACGTCACTAGAATTGTTGAATTCATCTTTCCCCAAAGATATAAATGATTTAAAATGTCCAAAAGATTTCCATCCACGGTTATCAAAGAATCGTTCTTAATTTGTCCCACGTGGCATTCAGTCGCGGAATCATTGCCTTTACAGAATAACTACAAAATAGGGATAGATCGGCCTAGTCCGTATGGAGGGGAATTGCGATACACCGACTAAATGTGAAACTCATCTATCACATCAAATACAACATTACAACTATTATGGACTGCATTATAAACTCGTCCACTAGTGTTAACAATGCGACAATTTAATTTAGACGTGTTATACAATATCCCAACATTAGTATACTGAAACTTTGTACAATCATCACTGGAAATTAATGAAAGATGTTTACAAAGAAATGTTTTTAATCCAAACTTATGGTTATTACATCAAATTGACAATTGTAATCTAGAATTTGTACCTTATTTAGATTTAGAAAGCAGCAAATCAAATCATTGATTGTTTTGCCTTACTGTGTTGTCACCCACAAACAACCGCTCCTATACATTCTTACGCCCACGTTCTACTTAAACGAAAATATGCAATTAAAAAGCTAAAAAAAACGTGATGCATTAATGCAATTCTCTTTATGTATCACAAAAAACATTAAATGTCAAAAAAGAAATCACAACTTTGAATTTTTAATTCATAAGAAGAAGAAAAACTAAAAGACAAAATAGAACAATTTCCTTTTTCCTCATTAATAATAAACATAATGTTAACAAGTAGCGAATTTTTATCATCTCAACAAGAAATTTAAAAATAAGAAATATGTCGTAAGAGTGGCATAATGTCGTAACGACCGTATTGGCTCTTCAAATCCACACATGTCTCCATTGTTCAAAAATGTCATGTGGTTCGCACGGTAAATCTGATTTTCGAACGATGATTCTACACACACAATATTTACTAAAACTGACAAGTTTACAGAGATATTGTAATTTCGACTTCAATAATGAAATATTTAGAAGTACTTTCACAAAAACCGTTTGTCAATTTAGATCCTAACAGTGAAGCGAAGCCCAGAATGCTACAAAATCTAAGAAAGATACAGATGTCATCAGGTTGCAGTAATAACTTGACTGCGACAAGTGCATCTGTTAACTAGTCAGAACTTTTTGCACATCCCGAGCTGATAATTGTAGGCATAACCAAATTATATTATGGTGCAAACCAAGCTAATCCGAAGAGACTACACCGATAATTCTATCCATTGCGCGAACATCCGATGTCAAGAGTCCTAAAAAAAAAACAGTACAAATTTAAATTTACCTATAACCAAGCGCAACTGACAATCGAGATTGGCCACGTACAATTTAAAATTAAATTTCTCACCAAAATACTCGAAACTGCTTGAAACGCCATACGACATGGTCTGATTTGAAAACTTCGTGGTCAGAATCTTGCACACAACATCCATACTTTCCTTAACTTTGCCCGAGCACAACTACGCCGAGAAATTCCAAAATCTATGCCAAAAATTAAAAACTAAAGGCCAGAAGACAGGACAGTTCATTGAAATACACCTACCTACATTCCCATAAACATAATTATTAGCTTCCTGACATTGGTACAAAACCTTTTAGAAAAAAAAGTATGCGTTATGGATAAGAAGAGATTGTAAAATATCATTTTAAGTATAAAAATACGAGTATAGAAAAATAGACTGAAAGTTTATATACAGAATTCAAAAAATATTAAAACTTAAAATTTGAAACCGTAAGTTCAACCGCAAATCAAATTTCAGTTAGACATATTTGTTGAATTCATGTCTACATTATTGTACTTCTTTATAGCTTCTATTCGGTATATGGAATCTTATTTCGTAAAGTAAATAAATATCAAATCTGTCATGAAGAAATGTGGTTAAAATTCTCTGTTTAATTAAATTAAATAAAACAATATGAGGTATTGTAACCATTTAAAGATAACTAAAACGCTGTCTTGCAAATGGTAACAATCAACTATTAAAAAAAATCACGGAGCCTTTCGTAAAGCATTTCACTTCATAGATCCTTAAACATAAATATGATAATAACAAAAAAATATGAACGCAACCAATTCCTAAATATCAGGAATAAAACACGCAGTTGCTACATTTACACTTAACAAAAAAAGAAATAAATATAAACAGTTGAAGTGAACTTAATTGAGGATATTTGGCACTGTCCCATCTGTTCAACTTAGACCAGTATTGCAAAGTAACAGGCGGATAGTTAAAAAACTTATCTGATACCAACACACTGTCCATCTCCGCTCTATTCGCATTCAACTGAACATTTTCCATTAATTACACGTCTAACTTTTTATATTTGAATATAAAAAAAAATGTTACAGGAGTCTGACATGAGCTAAACTAAAACAACGATATCCTGAAAAAATCCCTGATATCCTGAAATTTTACTTACTTACGGTTAGTCAACAGGTTATTGAAACTTTAGCTCTTAATGCGTTAGGTAAATGGAGTTATGGATACCCTGCGAGTTTAAGTGCAGTCTGTTAAACAATTGGACACAAACAATACAGCATCAGTCAAGTTTTAACACCGCGAGTTACGTTCAAGAATAATACTGGACCCCGTTGGCGTCAAACACCAATATAATACAACGATACCAACGGGAGCCCCTACATTTATATTTAAATAATTATTCTTTAAATCTCAACTGGTTGCACATGAAATGACTAGGAAATATAGAAGTAGTATGTGGCCTTTAAATGCACTACGACAACGGAATGTTGAATCGACACCATCACTTAAACATACTATAATTATAGGTCTCAATTAACACCCGCGGAGCCTTGGAACGACAGAAATGGATTGCAGAACACATTCACGCCTCGTATCTCGCATGCGTACATTTTATAACACGATTTTATACCTAACTACTTATGTAAATCTAGGGCAACATTGTACTTTGTACAAAACCGAAAACCGTTTTAAATCCACTGTATAGTACAAACTGATGTAAGTCTACTTTTGTTGTTTCTCCGCACATAAGCAACAATTGTGGCATAACTACGTAGATCCTGTTTCTATTGTATCACAGATGTATTCGAAGAACTTATCCTGGTATACGAAGAATATGATAAAAAATATTGTGATAGGGAAAATAGAAATATGGCATATTGATTTTTGCCACAAAGTTGTTCCGAGCGCATGTCTCAACCGAGGCCAAGGTGTAATACCACATTCTCCTATTATATACATTTACTTAAACCAAGACCTTCAGTCTCAACATTATTTCTAAGAATCCCTAGCTCGTTCATTAATATAAGCTATATCGTATTCGTCCGAGAGCTCAAAATAAAAACGTCTATAAAGGTAACTTTTGTTTCACAGTCACTGGACACATCTCAATAGCGTTTGCACGAAATCAAGGTACGTAGATAAGGGTGCGAGGGTACTTTGTTTACAACAGGGTACCGGGAGAGAACACTGAGCAACCATTCGAAGTCACACGTGAATTAAGTAACAATTATCGCATAATTTCTCCAAAAAACCTTAAAAAATCTTAAGATCAATTTCTGAGGTAGATTACTGACAATATAATATGCATCGACGAGGTATTTTTATTGTACGTACGTTACCAAACAAATTAGATGGCGCGTCTCGGGTGACCGCAGCTTAGTATAGGGTTCAAAATATAAAATCGACATTTACAGTTATATTCTAGTGACGGAATAAAATACCGCCGTCGGTACAAAACTAACGACAGTCCAAATTAAATATTTAGACTTCGATTTTCATGGTCATTATGGTTTAGTTTTTTTAGTGTAATCTATAGAGAAAAAATACAAGTCGAATGTAGCCTAAAACATTAAGTATAACGATTAAAATTGAGGTAGACGGTGTTATAAAAAATGTGCGGTCACCCGGTTGCGCCGAAACGAGTGGAGAGGTTAGTAGGGGGCAGTTACTGCGTGTGATTCGGCAGCGGCGGCTGCGCGTGCGGCAGGTGCGTCCCCGCCGCCACCTGGAAAATTCAAATATTTTATTGTATTGACAAATTTCTATTAAAAACTTGTAATTAGTGGCACCAGCATAAATTCCGAAAGCTGAAACATTCGTTAGAGACGTTCTTGAGAAAGATAATACGCTAGAAAGGTAAACCGTCTAACGTGCATTTGGAATATATTACAAGAGAGTGTTTTAAACTTTCTAGTTTTCCATATAACAAATAAAATTAGAGTTAAAAAATACTTTAAAACGCTTCTCCTGTAATATTTTCCAAAACGCACGTACGATGTTTTACCTTCACAGCGTAGAATTATATACGTATTGTAAAGATTGCAATGAGCTATTGCTGTTGTACTACACATGTACAGGTGTTCTCTAAAGAAACGGTTTTATATCATTTTCATTTGCAAGCCCAATACATCGTCATTTGTACGTCCCACTGGAGGCCACGAGTCTCCTTTAACGCGAGGGTTCAGGCCATAGTCCACCACGCAATATGTGTGAAGTTCAAAATCCGCATTGAAGTCGCGTAGGAACTACGACCTAAGCCCTTTCAATGTGAGAGAAGGTCTGTGCCCAGTAGTGGGGCTATATATGTATAGACTAACTACTACCACCACACTAATCCAATTCAAGTTGGGGACGGCAAACGTTTTCCGAAAGCTGTGAACGTTTGTGAAGTTATGTATTGTTTTTCTTCACCGAAAAGCTCACGGTATAAGTGCGAGCCCGCATTCAAGCGTACGGCCTCTGCTTCAGAGACCCAATGCATATATGTATATGAGCCTATGCACACATCGCGTTGCAAGCTAGAATTTCATGTAGTTGCTTCATTTCGAAAACAATCAAGCAAAATTAAAATTAAAACTATCTTTTATCATTATGCGCGATACATACACGCGACTTCAGCACTACTGCGGTGCGTATACGCACATATGACGCGCGTTTACGTAAGTACGCCGTCATTAACACAGGCTCTTTAACTTTTTCAGCAAACGAAGAAATTATGAACCGGAGTAAGATAGTATGAAGGAATTTATATCAAAACTGTACAAATAAATTTTCCCACTCAATACAATCAGTCATCTACCGCCCAATGACTCATTCGTTTTTAACACTGGTGACCTAGACTACCTTTTTTTTTTATAACATTAAGTGACGGGACGAACAAGTCGTGCACTTGATGCCTGTCCATAACAATCGCAGTGCCACTCGAGAGCTTGAAACCGCAAAGATCTGAGTAGCACTGCCACTGCGCCCATACCCTGAGATGTAAGTTGACAAGTCCCATGTGCCTGTATTTTCGCCTTTCCTTGCACCACGGTACACTGATGCATTTTTGTACATTGCACTGTCATGGTATAAGTTCTTATTGATGAAAAACAAAGCTCAAAGAACTTAAAAGCTTCTCGGGAGAATTCTCCAAGTGTAATTTGCTTCCCTAAACAATTCGATACTCTGGGGAAGGAAAGGCATAGAAAACTAACTACAAAACGAGTGTCCATAATAGTTAATTGTTAACAATCCATGACAACAAACGCAATTTTTTTTTAATATATTTCCCATTTTGTGGGTAAGCAAAGGTACAGCCTCTTCATATATTTAGGCGGAAGCCAAAAAAACGCTACAAAACAAGATACTAAAGAGATAGAATAGAAGTGGCCAAGTACCGATAAAATTTTAACCAATCTTTTTTTTTAATAAAGGTTTATCTAATGGTTGCAAAATCTTTAGACCAGTTTAACCAATCAGGAGGCAGTAGAGCGTTTGATATTTGAATTAGGAAAAATACGACGTTCTTTTTTTTTTTGAAACTCATTATAGTACTGTGTACAGAACTTCAATTTTTCAGTTCGTTAACAAGTAGCTTAGACAATAGAATTTTGATTCTGCATTAAAAAAGCGCCTTTGTGATGTGGTTTATGACATTACAATTGATAGTTTAAAGTACAGGAGCAGAAAAAATTATAAACGTTCTGGGTTGTTGTTAACCCCCTACGCAACAAGAGGGGAGTTATAAGGTTGAAGCCTTTTAAGATTAATTTAAACCGGATGGTTTTAGCTGTGATGCACATTTGTTGCGATGTTTAAAGATCGTCAGCTGTTTTTCCAGTCAGTGTAGAACTCTCAGCCAATGATAACCTTGATTTTGCTCGTTAGATTGGTTTAAACGAGTAGAAGATAGACAGATAGCTTACTTTATAGACTTTAATTTTTTTATTTTTTTATTAAGGCTTTGGCAAAGCCATCAGCCTAAACATGAAGTTTAATTATGTTTATGTAAATATGGCCGCCACAATGAGGATAGGCAATTTGAGGCGACGTGCTTGGATTGACTCGGGATTAGAACTTAGAACGGGCCGATACGGGTATTTTAGTTCGAGATTCGTATAATTTTGCGTTTAAATCTTCGATTAAGGTACAATAGCACTATCCTATTCCACTTTAAACTAGATTTCACAAAATAATTGAAGGTCAAAATAAAAACGACTATTTTCCCTCCAAAAGGTCCAGAGCGAATCCTTATAGACTTTAAATTTCGCCGATTTATCGCGTTTTTTTTTATTTTGAATTTTTTTTACTGTTCCAGATATGTTTACGTAAAATAGAGATTTTTCGGTCAGTGACAAAAATTTTAATGGACAGATCGAAAGAGAAAACGAAAGTGAATCAATAACAAATTTTTGATAAAATTTCACGCCATTTCTTTCCCGAAGTACCGTTTAGCAGAAAGTAAGTTCTTTCTATGCATATCTGAGGTAATAAACACATTACTGAAGTGTTTACACTACAACACTTTTAAAGTATTACACTGATGGTAAAATCGAGTTTGAGTGTGGAAGGACGCTTACCGCGTGGCGGTGCTCACGGGCAATATGGCGGCGCACGGTGTTGTTGCGCGTGAAGGTGCGGCTGCAGTGCGGGCACGGCACTCGAATGCCCTGGTGCCGCTGCCGGATGTGCGCGCGCAAGTTTGTCTCATATCCGTACAGTCGCTCGCAGTAGGGACATTTTAGTTTCTTGCCTGGAACATCCCACACATAATATAATAACGCACACACTCAACATAGCCCCGCACTAGGGAAACCCTGTGTCGCGGGTGCCATAGACACATACATAGACAACCGCAAATTACACCCAAACTCACGAGATAAATAATGGTATACCATACAAATGTTTCTCCCGGCCCGGGAATCGAACGAGGGACCTCTGCATAGCAACCGTTCGGCTACGGAGACAGCTTCGTACAATCAAAAAACGTCTCAGACAGATGTATGATACAAATGCTGTGTTGTTACCATTGACTTACAATTATATGGACGTCGGGTCCGCGCTAAAAAGTGTCCGAACTTATAGGGCGTTAAAATCGTATACAGAGCGTCATTCACGCTCTAGTCTTCGTTTGTTCGACTGACAGCGAAGCAAGCAAAATTAGACAGTACTGCGATGACATTACAATTTAAATTCAACGTTTTAGCTTTTTCATATTCCTTGAAATGTCACTACGTTTATATAGGTTGACTTGGGACATTTTTTTCGTGGTTTTTGTATTAGACCCGTCGTCCATTTATTTGTATGTCAATGGTTGTTGCAGTCTTTTATATTCCATATTTAAAACATTACAAATTATGTACGAAATATACTCACACACAGAAACAGAAATAGAAAACAGAAATAGAAAACATTTTATTGCCACGCCACATTATAAAAATAAAAAGACATAAAAAACTAATTAAATGGAAAGAAAAATAACAAAAAACATTAAACAACAAGTTATACTATATTACATAATATTATATTGACATGTTGTGGCGTACGCAAAAGGTTCTCATTCAGCTAAAGTGCCTACCTTTAATAATGAAGTAACTTAATTCGCAAAAGTAAAATTTTTAAGAAACTGACATAAAAAAGATTTATGAAATAAAAATCGTTTTTCATACGAAATTCATTTTTGTCATTTTTTTCTTAATCCATTTGATATTGTCAATAGCATTTTGCGCAATCATTGATGAGGGTTTTTAAAGTCGAATACCGTATTTAGGCCACGAGGCTTTACCATGTGACTTAAGTAATAGGTACGAGATTTTAAGACCTAATTATGTAATGATTGCATACCATACTTTTTCTATAAGTAAATTAAATAATGAAACACAACCAATATTTAATGTAAATTTCGTTAATCCATGACAAACTAACAAACGCTACAAAACAAAAAACCAAAGAGATAGATTAGAAGTGGCCAAGTACTGCTTATATTTTAACTTTAGATTTTCAACAATCATTTGATTTAATAAAGGTTTATGGCCGGTGGCAAGACCTTTAGGCCAATTTAACTAATCATGAGGCAGTAGAGCGTTTGAGTAAAGTCATATTCAATATTTGAATTAGCAAAAAATACTACGTTCTTTTTTTGAGACTCATTACAGTTTTGTGTACAGAACTGCAATAATTCAGTAGTGAGTACTGAAACTAAGGCGTAGCTTGGGGATGCGTAGCGAGAGGTACTTTTATGAATTTAAACTGGAATAATCTTCAAAATTTGCTTTATTGCACTGTTTTACATATTTTCAGCGTTCGGTTACATTTCGTAATATCAAGATGTTCTATTCTTTTCTTATTTCATTTTTCAAAACACATTCCAATTACAAAACTATTCACTCAGCCAGTGATTCTACTCATGGAGTAGAGCCTAGACTACAGTACCATAGACAATACAATTTTGATTCAGAACCAAAAAGGGCGCCTTTGTGATATGGTTTGGTAACATAAAGTCCAAATAAGGGTACAGGTTTACTTTCCAAAATTTAGAATTAGAATTTTTTTCATTTTACACACCTAATTTGATTTAAGTTATAAGTTATAGTTCATAAATGTCTTAAAATAATTCAGACACTAGCAAATTCTTTTTAAGGAAACGTGGAAACATCAGTGATACTGGTGGGACAAATCAGTACAATTTGTACCATGAATGAGATTGGCTAATAGTAGGTATGTGCCACGGACGGATATTTTAGGCGATGCTGTTGATATAATATCATTGCTGTCGAATATCAAATTTTTTTTTACATGACATCAAGGAACGGGACGAACAAATCGTGCGCCTGATGTAAGCTACACGCCTGTCCGAAACAGTTGCAGTGCCACTCAACTCTTTGAATCGCAAAGATCTGAGACGCACTGCCACTTCGCCCGTCACCCTGAGACATAAGTGTCATGTGCCTATAATTTCACCAGCACCCTTACCCTTCAAAACCGAAACAAAGTAATGCTGACATTACTGCATTGCAGCAGTAATAGTTAAGGTGGTAGTACTTCACTAGAAGAACTCTTTCTCTCTACTGCTACTAAACTTAGAGAGGAATAGTGCAGTAACAAATGAAAAATGCATTTACATTCAACCGTTTTGCAATTGCATATTCCTTGTTGATGGCTACCTCCACAAACCAAGTAACACTATATACAACAACAAAAATGTTACTAAAAATCGTGAGCGACAAAGAATATTTAAAAACAAACAATTTACGACAAGACAAGAACTATGACATCATCAGCTTGTAAATAGTGGGCGGCATTTATCTGAGGCAATGCCAAGGCCAAGGTCGATCGTGTAAGGTCATCAAACTACCGAAACACCAGCGTTTTTTGCTTTACTATACAATCCCATCAGCCAAACACACTTTGTTACCATGCAACAAGGAGCAATTGAAAAACAGCAGACCAGTTTTGGTCGCACTAGAGATTACAGAGGTGGACGTCGACCATGCAGCAATATTGAATTTCTTTATATGTTACTAGTAATCAGAAGTCAACGATCAATTTATTCAATCTTTACCGTCAGCAGTAGCGATGCCTCCAGATTTGCTGGTAAGCAGCTTAGCAGGCCAAATGTCGGGGCTGTGCTTCGGTGGCTGAGGCGACGTCGCCAGCGGCTTATCGTGGTAGTTGGTGGTCGGCATCGGAGCGGACGGCGGCGGGGAGTTGTTGTATCCACCACTTGGATGGTAGTCATTCTCATTTTTTAATTTCCGTAAATCTGGAACGATAAAAAAATTCAAAAGCCGAAAGCTGCGGTCTCACTAATTTGACAGCAACCCGATGTCAAGTTAGGTTCTCGGGGCTTATTTAACATTTTAAATTTTTAAAAGGTCTGAAATTTATTACACTAACCTTCTGCTCCCTGATCATTAGGTAGGCATTCAGTCATTTCTTCGTTGGTGGAGGCGCTGCGTTCATATCCGTTGTTCTTTGTCGGGTTGCCGAGTGTAGATGTGCAATCAGGAGGATTCTCTTCATATCGCTGCCCAGCGCCGGGCGACGAACGCGTATCCGGCTCGTCGGCGACGCTTCCGCAGTGAGATGACGATGAACTTTGTCTGAAATAATGAGATTGTTTGCTGAAAATCAAAACTTCTGCTTTTCCAGCAACGAATAATTTTTGAATGTTGAAAATACTTCTTGCAGTAGGTAATCTAGACTTATAGAGTAATTACCTATAATTCCTTGCATGTGGGCTCTGTGAAGGCGACGGTTTGGGTGCTGCAGGTCGGCGGTGTGACGGCATGGGAACATGAGCAGGAGGGGCATACCGGCTCATTCCTCCACTTCCGTGTATCGGCATTCCATACTGAGGCATTATCGGAGCAAACGTAGCGGTATGCGATTGTGGTGGACCGGATTCCTGCACCTCGCAGGTCCCTGATCCAGAAACTGGGCTGGTCTTGATACGAGTCTGGTGGCGGTCACCGGATTGCTGAGTCTGCTGCTTCACCCACGCATCTTGTGACATCTCCATCGACAAACCTTTGACCTGAAACGCAGTAGTTGGTCTTGAACAAAACACTTGAACAAAATTCACGCGCAAAATTGATGACGATTGATTGACTTAAAAGATTTAGCTGAAAATTGCAGATTATGTTAACAGCTGTGACGCTGTTTGTTTTGCAATTATTTTGCAGTGATTTATCGTTTGGTGGTTCTAAGACGTAAGCGTATTACGGAAAAGCTGTTCATTGTCCCCATTACGCCGATTGCTGGTATTCTATAATCTCAAGCTACAGAATGCTGTACTTTGACTGAACAAAAATGTCATGTAGTCATACCTGTAAATTTTCTCCACTCTTAAGAAAGCTGGACAATGCATCCTGGCTGACATGAACCTCGCCTTTGTACATGAATTCAAGCAGAGCCTGCATGTTGTCGGCGGAGGTAGCCTCCAGGATGACGTAGCAAGCACCGGCATGGCTCGGCGGTGCACTGTCGAACAGCTCTTGAAAGTGTTTACTGCACGCTGCCAGGATCACCTTATGTGCTTTGAACGTACGACCTGGGAAAGAGGAAAACGGTATTTTATAATTTTTAAACTCTCTATATAATTACATGCAGCTTGAGGTAAGAATTTGTGAAAGTGTGGTAAATGATCATCCATTATCCATTTGATTAGGCATCAAATCAAAACTATTATTGTAAATAAAGAAAACACAATAACTCGGTATCTCTTAATTCTTGAAAACACGTCAGATGAGAGAGATGTGAAAGAAGAGGATTTAGGATCAGTCCACCGCGCTGACTCAATGTGGGTTGGGCACTTCACACACTTTCCAAAGGTTGTGAATAGGACAAAGACCAGGAGGCAAGAACAGTGCAAACGTCTCCCTTCTCTCCCTTCACAAATCGCCATTTAACGCCGCTACTGGCCAAGATCTCATATTTTTCTCAGGGCGTTCCTAGTTTTCGACTTCCGCTAGCTGGGATCTACTCCGTGGCGGTCTTTCCTCACAACTCGCTTGACATGCGGCAGATGTCCAGTTCCATTACAGGCTGACGGCTTTTTAACCAACGTCAACAATTTGTGTTTTGGTGCACACTCTAACTGTTTATGCCTCACTAACAAACCCCGAATGCGAACTTCTGATGATTTGCAAAAATCATACTACTAATAATTAAAATTATTTTAACAAGCTACGGTATGAAATTCTCGTGCCTCGTGGAACGCATCCCACATTGCAGTAAACAAAATTCAAGGCCGCAGTCGGTGGTCGGTGCCGATTCCGAGTATCAATGGATAACTCTTACGTAATGTGCAATAAGAGAATAATACGGACATTATTCGTGTGAGTACACTGGCGTAGTGGTACGGGTTTGTTTACAATTGGGGTTCTTGAAACTCTCATTTATGTCATCGCTTCTAAAAGTGTAAAGGTGGAAACGAAAAATTGTATTCCAAAATGGGAAAAGGATTCAGACGTGGACGGTTCGGAAGTTAATACAGTAGCAATACCTGTCGTAACAATAAAGGAAGAACATCGCGATAAAACCTGCATTCTTTATTATGAACGAACAAGTCGTGCACATCGGACCTTACCATAACGATCGATAGCTGAAATAGCATTAAACAATTTCAACATTCTAAAACCGGATTATGGTTTTAAAGGATCAATGCTCACATCACTGCGTGGCGGCAGAAATAGGTATGGCGACAGAACTTCCCTGGGCGAAGTCTTTCACAAGGAGCTCTATTGCCACTGCATAAGGAGGAAGGTTCACAACCTTTGAAAAATGTGAAGCTCCAATTCGTATTGCGCCAGCTTGGTGGATTGTAACCTGAACTTTCCTTAGGAGAGCCGCTCCTAACTGGTGGATGATGACGACTTATTAAAAAACAACTAGGCTCTGTATAAAGTCGCAAAAATGCAAGGAGAAATCTCATTACTCGTTTCAACTGTATTGGGGAAGTTCTCGCTAGATTCTTTAGAACTTGACAGAAGATGTATATATTATGTCTTTAAAATTTGATTGTAAGGATTGTCGCTTGCCTAAAAGGGGCCCGTACCAAGTCTACAGTGGGATGACATCGTGCACAACATGGCAACAATAGTTCGCCTTATTGTTAACATTATAACGTTTCCTGTTAGATTTGACACTGTCAAAATTTTTAGAACGGTAAAACTAACTAAAAATACAAATCTAAAAAATGCAATCAATGTATAAATGAAAATTATTGAAATCAATATAGGTACTTATCTCAAACAGTAATCGATTACGTATTGGCCATGTTGATCTATAATCTTTTGCCATCTTTCGGGTAAATTAAAAGTTTCCCCAGACACAAAATTTCCTGTCTTTACTTATGAAATACAGCTCTAAGTGTGATGATGTCTTCATTATCAAAATGATTTGTAGTGTCCAAAGAATTTCATATAGATCGAAACAAATTAAAATCTGAAGGGAAATCTATAGGGCGAATACGGTAGATTAGAGAACCACATGCCAATCTAACTGCAATAGGTTTCGGCAGCTTTGTAAAAATGTGTATGATTTGGCGTTATTCTTCAGCAATTCTGGGCAATTGTTACGAAATAAAAATTTAAAACATTCCCGTCTATTCTTGAAATGCGTACTAAAATATTGTTTTGTAGGGGATATTGCAAATCCGCGTATGTAGTATTGGCAAAAAGCGCGTATCTGCAGCACACCAAATTTCATAGGAGAGGTATTTAACGTTATTACTTTGTTATTTCAATGTCTACGACTTTTATTTTTGCACAGTAAGCATTCATTTATATTATCTATGGACTGATAACAATAGATTCTCGTAAATTATGCTAATTTGGTTGCCACGATATTTACGCGGATTTGACTTGGCCACCAAATTACCGAAATGGAGACTCATAATCAAATGCTAGTTACGCGTAATTGCACGAACCCCGGCGATTTTTTAAATGGCCATAGACAATATAACAGTTTTTTTAAATTAAAGTTAGCTATATTATACGCAAACTAGGATGATCCCCGTGACACTTCATATGACGTTTGTCATAGGGATGAGGTATAGTTTTATTTTTCTAACGTATTCTGAACGATGCATAGATGTGTGAAGTGTTTTGTATTATATTGAAGGCATAAAACATACAACTGTAATTCATCAATTTTTAAATTTATAGGTTTAAAAAAGTAATAACACTGACTTGTTAATTCATTGCCTACGATTAAAATTCATACTTTAAGAATGAATACCCGCGCTATACAATTTTTTATTAAATTATCGAAAACTTTTTATCTATATACCTCATCTCTAGCAAATGCAGTATAATGAAGTAACCTTTGCATGTTGTCGTAAAAATTTTGAAAAAAAATGTTTTTCCGCTCATTTTCTACAAATAAACATTGATTTGGTGTTATTTTCACTTTAATTTAAGGTAATTCCTTAAACAAAGGCTATTCGTTTAAACGCGAGGCTTATAAAAATAGTATATGAAATACGTAAATTAGTGCACATCGTTACAAGGCTATATTGTGTAGATTTTTATGAACTGTCACAGGTATCGCTTAAATCATTTTTAGTATAGTGACTAAAACCGCGCGAACTTTTTATCCAACCCATCATTTACACGCTGAATGCACAAAATATCTGCGCGATCGACAAAAAGCAAAACTATATCGATGAACTCATTGATAGTGTTTATTTTTATCAAACATGATGATAAAATTGTCTACTTTGAATATGTGAATATTTTGGCTGAATTTCATTGTTCGGATCAATTTAGTACTGAATATACTGTTGTACTATGTGTATAATATAACTAAAATGGCTCTTCTATCATTCGACGTGACACGTAAAGACAAGGGAATGGTCCCCAAGAATAACGTCCTGAAATGAAGTCAATGAAACCATTTAAGGTTTATTCAACTGTACATGAGGCAAAAACTATGCCCAGGGAAATTATCCCAACTCTGACTGATTCTCGTTGTGTGTTTTTGGTACTTAAAGAGACAAACAAACGATAGAAGATACATACTATAATATCTTTTTAGCTTTTAAAATTGTATTGCATTTCGTTTTATTGCTAATTCTTATTAAATATCTAATTGTTAATTATTACAATGTTATAATTTACAATTACACTTTTGATCCTTGTATTGATATTTACAACAAACTTGTGCAGTAATTTTAGAAAAAAGAAATGGTATATCAAGTAAACATTGTGATGTTCAATCAATTTCATATTACAATTTCATATTACAAGGCCAAAGAAAAGATGGATGGATTGTGTGAAAGATGACATGGATAAGAAAGGTGTGAGTCAGTGTGAGTACAAAAATGACGGCTGATAGGGGAGAGTGGAAGAAAAATACGTGTTGTGCCGACCCCACCTAGCGTGGGATAAGGACAGGAAGAAGAAGAATTGAATAAAGCTACATCTTTACTCAGCCGCTGGTAGCTGTAAAGGTACCTAGCTGAGCGAAGAAAAACTTTCAAATATTTCTCACTGATGGTGATACGGAAAAAGTCGTTAAAAACGAACTGCAACAAGCACTTAGAAAAATTATTAAGATGATGATTCGTTCCGTATCTACGGTATGCTACCATATACAATATTTTTCTTAGTGTTTCGTCGTTGTTTTAATAACAATTACACTATTATATACAATTTCATCAAAGTATTATACGTCCGTGTCATGATGCGATCTGATTTGTTCAATGAAAATCAACGTCGTAGCACTTACAGTAAAACGACACAAATCTGAGTGGATGACGGATGTATAATTGAAATGTTATGATTATTTTTATATTATACGTTGTTATTGTTACATGTATGTGAGCTGGGTTGTTTCTTTTCGAATAATGATTTCTATTTCCATTTATTTGATATCATATAAAATGTACTAAAAAAGATAAAAACATTTATCGAGACTGAAAATTTGCCGTAAGTAAAAAGGACCCTATTCCATATAGGCCGAAACGCGAGGATCCCTAAGCTCTCCGCACAGGGCATTGGAAACGCTACTTCATGCCAATTACGAATTCAATGAAATAACAGAATATGTAAGGAAAAGAAAACGAAATCGAGGAATCCTTAAAAGAGGACATATTAAAAATAAGCATCTAGAATAACTTACTGTACAATTTAATTTATAAAATTTCTAATTATCATTGTCACATTACATCTAAAATAAAACACAAAAAAAAATTCAATCAAAAACACTAATAATATAAGTAATGAAAACCAAATAGGAACGAAAATTAAAAGGGACCGCTCTGAACCGTACCCGGCTCAAACGTCCCCATCACACTAGCCGCATTACCGCGCTGGATGGCCAGTGAAATCTGCTGCACCAGGTAAGATCCAGAGCGTGGATCATAGCCCCTTTCTCGGAGCCGGCGGCCCAACTCCCGCACAAATTCCTTGGCCTCAGCAGCCCAAGTCCCCGCAGTCTCCACTGCAATTGGCACAAAATCGTACATTGGTTCCAACGCGCTGTATTTTGTGTGTTTTAATTTTGCCGCATATTCCGCAGCTGACCCGGCAAATCTGGTGGTGTGAC